CCCTGAATTGGGACACAGCCAATGTCTTCTCCAGAGGCCTGGTGATGAACTAGTCATGTGATTCAGGATTCAGATCCTGCAGGACACCGGCCCTCGAGGCCTGGAGTTTCCACCCTGTCCTAAAAGTTGATGTATGAAAAGTAATTCATGGTAATTTGTTTTACTTGTCAGTCTCTGCGAGGTTATAGACACAATGAGCCTTCAGCGTTACTATCTTATCATAGTGGAACAGCTAATCATGTAGAGCTTGCAGCACCAGAGTTTTTCCTTACTGGAGTTTTTTCCACAGCCAAAGGAAAATCAGTTTAATGAGGATCTCACAAAGCTTTGTGGCATTTTCTGACAGCAGTCGTTCTTCTGATTCGTCATTTAACTTGTTTCTTACGCATTCATCTACCAATAGGCATCTATATGTTGAAATATGTTCAAATGTATCTGTTGAAGTGCCGTTGTCTGTTTCAGCCTCACCCTCAACATGTACAAAGTGACCGGCCAGTTTCCATGGAGCTCCTTGAAAGAGACTGACAGAGGCGTGTCTGCAGAACTGAACGTCAGTGGAAACGATATTAAACAATGATTACAGTTATTGGGAGAGGGAAAGAGTAACATTTCTGTCTCTCTGCAGTTTCCTCTGGGCGTGACCAACCACACGCTGAAGTGGGAGGGTGTATGGAGGGAGCTGGGCTGCCTGGCACGCAGCGCTTCCTTTGCTGTGCGCGAGGAGAGCGGACACTCACTGAAGTCTGCTCTCTCTGTATGTCGCTGAATTATTACGGTTCCTTTCAAAATGTGCTTTATTATCATGTTGTGAGAGTTCTTGATTATTGATGATTGCACCAGTTCAGCAGCTCTGTTGGTTTTGTTTGCAGCACACTGTGTCAGTTGATTCAAGGAACTCTGCCATCTTTCCCAGCAGAGGTGCCTTACTTCGCATCAACCAGGTAAGTGTGCACACATAAGCACACTCGCAAACATCTGTCTGCCACACTTTTGGCTCGTGACATTAGGTTTGAAAAAGCAGCAATCCCCACATTTGCCAATATGTATTCGACCTCACCTGAGCTCTGAGAGATACGTCTGTTACGATGGACAGACAGGCCATGTAGGGAAAAATGGGCGTTTCTTCCAGGTCTAAAGGCGTTGCCACAGTGGACGTGCCTTAGACCTGAGCACAGGTTTTATGAGAAAATGAGCCTTCGCTGATAAGTCACTAGATTCAAGTCTTCCTAAATATAACACCATGGTCCTTTTTCACTCCAATCTTCCCCAAAGGATCTTTATACTCACACATGATCCTGGATTCTGTTCTTGAAGAAAAAAGTAAAGTTTTTGCTGCATGTGAGATTTTTTTTACAGTGTATCTAAACCCACAATGACAGAACTACTCTTCCGTTGAATGATATTGTTACTGCCACGATTACGTCGACTATCAAAATCGTCGATGACTGAT